CCCATGTACACAAAGGAAAGTGTGTTAATAATTTGGAGCCTATTCAATGATTTACACCAAATACAGGATATTTTTAACGTTGGAATTAGAGCAAATAAATTTGGAATGAATGAAAATACAGCTTTGTATAGAATAACAAATTCTATTGTTTTCAGCACTAGATAAAAAACAAGTCATTGAAAATGACACAGTCCCTGTTAAATTTTTGAAAGTTCTCTTTGTGCTCGTCATATTAAAGTGGAGGGGTCGTCGCGAGCGTGTCCTTGAAACTTGAGTTCCAAGTGGTGTATACAACAGATTGATTATTTACATCAAAACACGTGTTCGGTGTAGTAGTAATATGGCCAAAAATAAAAACAGCCGTTATTCGGCCATCTTTGATCTGATTATGAAACACACTGATATGTATGATGTATGTGCCAAATACGAGTGAAAATGGTACATAAATTGTGGAAATATAGTAGTAAGGCCAAAAAGTCTAATGGCTGTCAATCAGCCATCCTTGACCAGATTTTGAAACAAATTGTCATGGACATGCATCCTAACATGTATAAAGTACATGTATGTGCCAAATTTGAATGAAAACTGACAGAGCACGTCCAAGGTAATGCATAAAAAAACAAGGTGCCTGCCAGTTGACCATCTTTGATACATAAATAAATAAATAAATCGTCATGGACATGTATCCTAACATGTATAATCTATATACCAAGTTTGAATGACAAAGCATGTCCAAAGTACAACATTTTCAAAAAACAAGATGGCTGCCAGTCGGCCATTTTGAATCGAATCGCTAAACCACTGCATGTGCATATGTCCCACATAAGGTACTAGGCACATGCAAAGAATGAACGGAATCGGTCCACAGGATTCTGACATATGACTCAGGACAGACTGACGCACAGATGGATGGACACATGGACAGATGGACAGGCTCAGGAACTCACGGACGGTCGGGGACATGTATCCTAACATGTATGATCTGTGTACTAAATTTGAATGAAAACTGACAAAGCATGTCATAATACGACATTTTCAAAAAACAAGATGGCTGCCAGTCGGCCATCTTTGATCCAATTGTGAAATAAATCATCATGGACATGTATCCTAACATGTATATTCTATGTACCAAGTTTGAATGAAAACTGACAAAGCATGTCCAAAATACAACATTTTCAAGAAACAAGATGGCTGCCAGTCGGCCATTTTGAATCAAATTGCTAAACCACTGCATGTGCATATGTCCCACATAAGGTACTAGGCACATGCAAAGAATGAACGGAATCGGTCCACAGGATTCTGAAATATGACTCTGGACAGACTGACGCACAGACGGATGGACACACGGACAGATGGACAGACTCAGGAACTCACGGACGGTCGGGGACATGTATCCTAAAAT